TCAGACCTGCAAGAACTCAATCGGAAGCATCTCGGAGCAGCGTCCGTCTTCTTCATCAATCATGTTGAGCATTAACTCTGAATCCACAAGAAAAGCAACTCGGCCAGATCTAGTAACGCCGAACCATGTCCCATTAGTCTCTTCACAACGACCTCCCAATATGCGTCCAACCCAATCCGCCCCATTGATTACCCTTTGAATGTAAAACACTCGTTGGTCCAACAATACAATGCATATTCATGAACAAAGTTTATAATAAATTACAGAGAAAATAAAACTTGCCTTGTTTCCCAATTGTCTCTGTTCATGAGCAGAGTCAGTTGGTAATTTCCCCACTGGAATCCAACAATCCCCATTCTTCTTCTCTCTTGTAGTATTGTATATGATCTTCTTCAAGTTAGTTTTGTGTGATTCTTCTTCATCGTTGTGACCCTCTCTCTCTATTTATAATTAAATATCCATGTCTTCTTCTCTTTAACGCGCTTAAGAGAGACTGATTTGGTCTAGCTTTTGTTGTTATCCGTCACCATCATTCCCTACGAATATTCTTCTCGATTTAGTAATGAGAGGAGTCGTGAAGCATTCACTCATTCAGAAAAAATGTGACAATATAAGCATAAATGGAACACACAGAGTTTCAACATTTCTTATTCCTTGCACTTTTGCTCTAGCTTTTTGCTCACTGAGTCATGTATATGTGGAACCGTTTCTCCTCCATCATGACGAGGTGGCATCTACTTAAGGCAACCAACAACTGGACATCGATTGTTTCCATTTTTCTTCATCAACTAACACCACTTAATTATCAAATCCCATTTAGCAACACATTTTGTTTAAAACATACATTGTAATAATGATGAGTGTTTTGTTGGACGTACATAAGTGTTCGTAAATCGTTTCATGAAAAAAGAAAATGCATGATGGTTTGGTAAATCGTTTCATGACAAGTTATTTGTATCTATCTCTACTATACGTCTCGCCAAAAACATATTTTCTTCAAAACGAGTAATTGAAACCATGGATTGTTTTTTATTTGTATGAATGATTATGTGTGAGCTGATTCAAATTTGATGAAATGGAAGTGATTAATTGACTAATGTGTACCATAAAATAGACATCAAACTATAAAAATCTTAATTTCAATTATGATTGACATCAAACTATAAACTTATTTTTTTGTAACTGTTACATAGACGAAAACTAAGAAATCTACGAAAACCTTTGGTAATTT